GGCTACGTCCAGCGTATCCCTCCCAAGATCCATCGGCCATCCAGTGTAGTATGGGCTTGGGAGTCTAGGTTGTACAAGGTCGAGCACTCTGCAGAAGCTGCAGAGGATTCCTGGGACGAGTTCCCGCAGCTATCGGCCGTCAACCTGGCTGTCTACACCCCCACCACAGTTACACCAAGGGAGGTCGAGCCGGGGTACTCTGAGTGGTTAGCTCGGGTTTCTCGTCCGAAACTGTTGGGTGGCGATATCACGGAGCCTCCCCCAGTCCCTTCGCGCGTCGATGCATCTTATGTAAGTCGTTTATTTATTTTATTTTTGTTCTCAATGTGTGCTTTCATTATAATGTTTATTTATTGTAACTCTTCAATTTGTGGATAGTGGATCAAACGTTTTGACGACGTCCACTCTGCGTACATATCGCGGTTCGAGCGTGTTGATCCTGATTTGACGAAGGAGTACGTAGATGCTCTGGCCGTAGTTAAGGCAGTTTGGGAGAGAACGACGCAGTGTTGATGTTTTATGTAAATAATGTTGTTTTTTTTTTATTTACTGTACGCTCGAGTTTTGATTGTTTTTTTTTATTTACTGTTGGGTCGGTTGTTGGTTGAATTATTTTTTTTTATTTCATGTACGCTCCACTTTTGGTTGAATGGTTTTTTTTTATATGTCGTTACTCATTCACTTATGTTTTTATATTTTCGATATGCTATACTATATTATAATTAAAAAAATACATCATCTCAAAATCTAAGTCAATGAAATAAATAAGTTCAAAATAACGAATAATCAAAACCGAATATAATAAGAATATCAAGACCTAGGTGCATCACGAATCCGGATCCACGCAGCTATTCTACTGCTGTAGTAATCCTCCCAACCGATAACCGACCGATCTCGAAGTGCCGTCCAAAAAGGGCATATAGGCGGTATTGGATGGCCGGGCGTCAAATTAACACGAATGTAGTGTGGGTAACAACCAAGGTGACACAAGACGATCTCTCGCTCCGGATATGTAGCCGTCGATGGTGCTACGAGAGGCAATACATTAGAACTATAAAATGTGGGATTGTTACCATGCTCACCCATGCCTAACAAGACGACAACTGCATTAAAAAAATGTGGCAACGGGAAAGTGGTCGCACATAGTTTCCATCCAGTGGTTACGGCCACAAGGGCCCCCATCCCAGCGTATTCGATTGAGTGTTGCGTCGATCCCGTCAAAGAAGATGGACTCGTACCTCGGAATGCTCCCCGCAATCTCATTTGCAATAATTTGTCTTACCAACCGGTACTTCTCCTGGTCACCAAAAACATAGCTCGCAATTGCCCGAAATTCGCAGTTCCCATCGTCGGTCACATCCAAGTAGCTCTCTACGTAGTCGTGCACAATGTAGGGAATGCTATTCCAATACCGGTAACCGAAGAAGTCTGTCGAGAACGTCTCTATAATATTACAAACATTTCACGTCAGAATATATATAATCAAATTTATTTATGAACATAATTCGATGAAGTGATTAAAACACAAAGAAATTAAATTAGAATTCAACCTCTCGGTCCTTCTGAACGCTGAGAAGACGAGCTTGTCGGTGCTTGTGATGAAGTGCTTTTACGGCCCACCTGACGACCTCTTTCCCGGTACTCCCAGACACATGGATCACGTTTCGTTGAATTTCTCTTTTTCGGTCGACCTCGCGTGTTTTCCTTCACTTCAGATTCTCCATAACCTTTTGGTCAGGGGGAAGCTGAGAATAAATGTACTGATTCAAATGACGCACGGTCGCAAGATTGGCCTCTTCGACCTCCTCCGCAAGGCTCCGAAAATACGACAGGTCTGTCCACCCAACTGTCGATGGCCGTGCACTACTCGTGGATGGTCGTGCACTACTCGTGGATGGTCGTGCACTACTTCGGGCATCTGTTCGTACAACCAAATTTAAAACATTTAAACATCATAACCTATATATAAATTATATATATAAAAAAACAGTACGTGAAGTATAAAAAAAAATAAATGAAAAAAAACATTCAATTTAATATCACAATTATACCTGGCACCTCAAGTGTTATCCAGAACTCGTGAATATCATCCGTGGTAATTGGGTTATTAGCATTGCACGTCATACTCATGTAACAGGCACAAGGAAGTCCATGCGTCTATTTGAGTACGCACCCACAGCGCGTCGTAATCTCATCGCTCAAGTCTCGCATCCTCTTATACTCTTCGTTCAATAACTCCAAACAATAATGCGAGACCCTCAGTGTTAGCTGCGAGAACGAAAATCCGGTGTAATGGTAACTTCGTTTGTTCCGGCACTCCTCCAGCGTGGTCCTGATAATAGATTGCATGAATGAATTTATAATTAACTAGTATTCGATCCTGTGCACATGCACAGATGCAAATAAAATTTTATATATTATATTTATGTGTGCGTAATATTTAAAATCAGAAGTCAGATAATAGCATATCAAGTTTTATAAATTTTATCATTAATAAAAATGAACGATATAAAAAATGACTGGATAAAAATTTTTTGCAATCTTTATTTAGTAGGAAAAAATTGACTGGATAAAAAATAATATTATTATCATAGTAATTGTGTTCGAAATTTTAATAAAAATTAAATAATTAATGTTAGTAAAAATACTTGTTCAATGAGTTAAAACAAAAAAAAAATCACATAAATAGTTTGAAAAAATGTTTAAATTATAATACCATTTAATGTGATTTTAGATTGGTTAGGAGTAATTGTTATATAATAAAACTGCAAAAAAAATATAAGTACTTAATTGATTTTGACGACGTCCACTTAATTAAATGCTTGGCCTAGCAATTATATATATATATATATATATATATATATATATATATATATATAGATACATGAATAGCACAACAAATATGTGTAGCTTAATAAATTAACGTACATGATTTGAGTGTATTGGGACTCAATCTCCTTGTGAGCCTTCTCCCACAATGTGTCAAAAGAACCGGTGGACGTGTTAAGCCACTGCTTCAACACATTGTGGGAACTCTCCACCCTACACGACGTGGTGTTACCCAAATGCAGGAAGTGATTCGTCCACGCTTTGACAAATTTTTCCTTGTGGACTAACCACGTATACTCTGCGTACTCTATAACAAGATGGAACGTCTTGTACCGAAGCTTCATGTCCTTCACGGCAGAGTCGTACTCGACCACCGTGCTCGCTTCTAGGATCTTCTTCCACCGACCGCGCGTGAACATCTCGGCAAATTGACTATTTTTGTGGGTGATTTTATAGACCCTCTGTTCCACATCCTTGTTGATGTGCCACGTGCAAAGAAGGTGGGCAGACATCGGAAAATTAATCATAATAGGATTAATCAACCCCATCTCCCTGTCAGTGACAATGACTGAAGGATGTACATCAGGCCCAATCAGATTTCTCAACCGCTTCAGAACCCAATCATAGCTGTTCTGGCTCTCGTCCTTCGCAATTGCATATGCAATCAAGAAATTCTTGTTGCACGACGTCATCCCTATTATTTCCACAAGCGACATCTTGTACCTGTGCAAATGAGGGCAACAAAATCAAAAAAAGAATAAAAAAACGTATCTACTCAGACATAATAATTAAGATTCGTACTAAATTGTTATTTATAAAGTAGCGTACCTGTTGGTTTTGTACGTCGAATCTATACCGACGTACCAATAATATTTCTGAAAGAGAAGGGCTGACTGGGGATGCGACATGAACACACGTGTCAAGGTGTGTGTGTCCTTATTAGAATCGGTGAAAACTATGTAATTAGCCCGGCTAGCCAGATGCATAAGCTGGGAAGTCACATCTCTACCCTCGAAACTCTCTGATCGGAGTTTAGCCTTATAGTTGTAAACCTGTTGACGAATCGCGTTGTCAGACGGGTATTTCTCCTGTATCGCTGCCAATATTACCGCCGGTCTTGCCTGGGCAGCTGTCATGTCACGGACGATATGTCTCGCCTTTTCACTCAATCCGCTGAACTGTCGATGACCCTCGGGATACAAAACCATCGGATGATTATGGTATCCCTTCTGGTCATCCAGAGGAAAACATACTCTCCAGGAATCTTTTGTACCAACCACTTTTTTCAATTTCATCTCAAACAGGCATCCGGTATATTTTGTTTTCGACTTTCTCAGGACAGCATTAACAAGATTGGATATTTTATTACCTCGATAACGTTCCCCTCGGTTACACCTCAGAATCCTTAATGTTCCTCCCTTTAAGTGCTTTGAAATATTAGTTCAAAACTACAGATAGTTGCCATACCGACTGCATAGTTAACAGCTTTTTGAAGACTATCAAATATCTCACCTGTTCTGAAAAAATGCCATTAATCAACATTATCTCCTCCAAAATCCTCAACTGGCGCCTGCAATATATTACAATGTATGTTACCAAAACATAATCAATTATAAGTAACCATTAAAAAATAATAATTTATATTATATTATAACAATACATTCTAAAAATATTATTACTTTTTAATAATACTATATATATATGACTAAAAATATTATTATTAAAAATATTATTATTTTTAATATATATTAATATTTTCATATATTATTATTTTTCATATATATTATTTTTAATATATTTTTATTTTGTGTGTTAAAT